AAGTCAAATACTGTTATTCGATTTCATTCTTAGCCATATCAATAATTTATTCATAATTTTGTGCAACTTTAAGCCAAGAATGATCGCTATGTTAAATTACCTTTACATATACTTACAATCATAAAAACTGTGATAAAGATTTAAAAAAAGGAATCTTTAGTTTTGGTTTGAATTTCGCGCAAAGCTACACGAGGGCTATCTGCGCTAGTCGTTCCTAATTTAGCAGTGTAAGACTAGAGGGAAGGCAGCTAGTCATCACCACCCACCGCCAACTATTGGGCTACTCTTTTACCAATGAATAGTGGGACTGACCGTCACATTATAACGTCCCCACGGCTGAAAGGGCGAGCATGTTTGGTGGGACGGGGAACCCGCGACCCTCAGAACGCGAGCCGAGCGCCCTAACCACCTGGCCATTCCGGGCTTCTTTAGTTTTAAGAAATTATCACTAGGTGCATCAAAATTTTGTAAAACGCCTTAGCAAAGTACAGTAAGAAAAACCACTTGTGTTTCCTATTTTTCAAATATAGTTTATTATAGTAAACATTATACTTAATAATACACCTGATAATATAACAGAACATTATAGCTAAGCAATTAAATAATGGATCATGCGATACCTAACCATTGTAACAATAGGAATAAATCACCAGTGGTCAAGCAAGATTTTATATTGTTTAAAACTATCACCATTTCCCCAAGAGAAAGTTATGCCCTTTTTGAGGGGGAGGGGGTAATGATGTAAAAAATATCCACTATCTTTTTCAAATTTTATAAAGAATAAAATAATTTTCAACTTCTGGCAATACGTATCTTATATAACCTGTAGAGTGATGGTTGAGGTAAAACATAAACAATAATTTTCAACTTCTGGCAATACGTATCTTATATAACCTGTAGAGTGATGGTTGAGGTAAAACATAAACAATTTTAAGTTTAATAAACAAGTTATTTCAACAAAAGGTGACGGGCGTGGTTTGATGGTTAGCGTGTCCAAACTGTGAATTCGAGAGTTAAAAGTTCTCGTCCCTTTGACGAAAATTGTGATTCGCACTTTCGGGCCATGATTGAGTGATGGTAAAATATATTAGAGTAGCTTAAAAGTCATCAGTGAGTGATGTTGACTAGCTGCCTTCCCTCTAGTCTAGTCCTACTGTGGGTCAGCGGTAAGTTTACAGACTTATAACACTAAAATCCCGGGCTCAATTCCTCGCAGTGGACAGAGACCGCGAGTAGCTTTGCGTAAGTATCCGAAACAAACAAACTTTCAAACAAATATATATATATATATATATATTATTTTTATAATACTTTAAACGAAGTAATAATGATGTATATTATGTCGATATGTACACGATAATGTCAACAGTTTATTTGTAGTGTTTTTATTTGTGTTTCAATTAGGGTCATAAATTTATCACTTAGGTTATAATTTTTGATTTAATGGATTATTAACACGTAACTAAGTGTGGACAAAATTTGTAGCAGATTCCGTTATTTTAAGTGGAGCCATATGAGCTTGGAAATTTACGGATGACAGCATATTTAGTGTTATATGTAACAATGTTTATGTTATTATTATCATGTACCTGTTATATTAAAAATATTGCTGGCGGAATAAACATGTCTTGAACGCCAACGGGTTTAAATAAACCTATTGTAAAGTTAATTATCTAAATATATGTATTTAATGTATTTTGTAATCAGAGCTTTTGAATGACTTGGATGTTGCATTATGGCAAGCCGCATAAACTAGCTAACTTAGAAAATGTTTCTTAAATTATTTTATATGACTTGATCTTGTCAATCGTATTAGTTGTTTTTTTCTTCATCAACTATGTGGTATATAACTGATAAAATGCAATGGAAAATTTCTGAATTTTTGTTTTTATAATCAAAGAGCAAAACTGAAACAATAACTTTACATATAATGCACGTATACAACACGTATATAACAATGCACGTATACACAGCCTACCAATATGTAAATAGAAACCTCCTGAGAATACAAATCGACCATTTCCATGACGTTATATATAAATAACTCTGACGTCTCAATACAGAAATATCTTGGTAAAGAACACAGAATGCGCACTATCATAAAACGAAAGGATTCAGAGAATGAACCGTGTTCTCACGAGGTCGCATAGTTGGACGTCTCTTGTCATCAAGAAATTATTATTATCGTTGTCCACTGTGAATACAGAGTGACAATGCAGTTTCCGTTACGGCGGGAAACAGTTTCTGCACGACCTGGGCGCCCACAGATAGCAGATCAGTCTCTCCGTCAAACTGCCACAACTATTATAAGATAGATGAAAGTATACCCTCCTCCCCTTCCCGAAAAAAAAAAACATCAGAAGTTATCTTCATAGTATGAGCTATAATAGCTGTTTAAACCACTCCTCACTCTGAGTAACAATCTACTGCCTTTCGGAACACTGTAGGTTTTACACGGACAGTAGACGTGCCATTACTCTTCCAGTAAACACTGTAGGTTTTACACGGACAGTAGACGTACCATTACCCTTCCAGTGAACACTAGAGTTTTTACACGGACAGTAGACGTACCATTACCCTTCCAGTGAACACTGGAGTTTTTACACGGACAGTAGACGTACCATTACCCTTCCAGTGAACACTGGAGTTTTTACACGGACAGTAGACGT